TATATATAGTAGTGAATAAAAAAGACGTTGATACCATCAAGTCAGCTATCATCAACACAAGAAAAAGGCACGAGATCGGCAATCAAGCACAGTCATCTGGGTCCGCCTACGTTCCTTTAGAGCTACCACCCGCTTGCTCAGTCCTTCAATAAGCCCCCTTTACATTTGGTGGATCGTGCTGGGTAAGTACATCAGCTACACCCTGGAACTCTGATCCCGCACCCTGCCGTCGACCATGCAAGTTGACGCTGCCCAACAGACAGCACCTCTCGCGGCCGCTACTTGCCCCGGCCCTGTTCACCAGCGAGACCCCCCGATCTTTTCGGGCGCCAAAGACCAGGACGTTGAGGACTGGCTGTCTTCCTACGAAAAAGTCAGAAGACCAAACAGGTGGGATGACGCTGCTAAGTTGATCACCGTCAACTTTTACTTGGCTAATGTGTGAAACTGTGGTACACAAACAACAAATCCGAGTTCGAAAAGTGGGCCACTTTCAAGCAGGCAATATCCTAGGTTTTCGGTCGCCCTGCCATGCAGAAGTTGCGCGCCGAACAACGCCTGCGCTCACGGCCACAAGAACCTGGCGAAATGTTTACCGCCTATATTGAAGATATACTCGATCTCTGCAGGCGCGTCGATGCCGCAATCAGCGAAAGTGGCAAGATCCAGCACATTTTGAAAGGTGTTGATGACGACGTATTTCAAATGCTCCTTGCGAAGTCTCCTGGCACGGTGCCTGAAGTGGTAACTCTGTGCCAGAACTACGACGAATTGCGACGGCAACGAGCTCTCACCCATCGTTCATTTCAGCCTTACCAACCACTCGCTGCACTGGAGGTCGTACCTGACCACTTCCGCCTTCTAGCACAAATGAAAGACTTTGTGCGTGAGGAGGTCGCACATCAGCCTTTTCCTGCCGTTTTGTCAGCGCCAAGAGCTCCCGCAGCAGCAGCAAGAGCAACCACTGACACCGTTAGCTCCCATGCTCCGAATGGAGGCGGAAATGTTGTAGGCCCGTGTACTCAGATTTGGGTGCACGTTAAAGAACCCCAGGTGGTCAAAATTTCCGGACTCTCCACTACGGCGTCTCTCATAATCATATAGTGGTTTTGGGACGTTAAACCCCCCATATCAATCAATCAATACCATGCTCCGACATGCACTTCAGGACCAGATTGCCGAGCCTATGCCAGGGCCCTTTCAGCAGCAAATTGTCGCCGCGCCTCTTACTTATGCAGACGCAGTAAAGAGGCAGCAGCCACACCAGCCCTCGCCGTTCAATGGACTGCCGCATGTCACCGCTCCTACTCAGTCTTCCGTCGCATGGGCTCCTCCACGCGCTACCACAGCCTCGACTCAGCCATATGCCACGTGGGCGACGCCCCTCGCTGCAAATGCCTGGTGAACGTGCGATAACCAGCCGATCTGTTTTGCATGCGGCGGCCCTGGCCATATCTCCCGTTACTGCCGTCGTCGCGTGCCCGCCTACACAGACGTCCGACCACGAAGCAACTACATGGACCGACCCCCTTTTGCTTATGAAAGTTCGGATCGTCAGTCAAACATGTCTTCCTGTGACTGACTATCCGGCAACTTCGTCTCGTCGCCCACCTTCACCCAATCGACGCTCTTGTCACCCTTGCGTCCACGACCAGCCCCTCAAAATGAGGGAAACTAGCCGTCGCAGTTCAAGGGGCAAGAACTGCGCTATCGAAATGTTCAAGTCCTCACACCTTGCCGTCAATGATCGTCGAAGTTTTTGTAGACGGCGCCCATGCATACCCTCTTGTGGATACCGGTGCCGCCATGTCTGTTATAGACGCCAAACTTTGCCGCAAGCTCCGAAAGGTGACCACGCCGCTTGATATGATGTCCTTACGTGCAGCAAGTGGAGAACCTGTTCGACCTATGGCCGCCTGCACTGCCCGACTCTCAATTGCGGAGGACCAATACATTGTTGAGTTTATCGTGATTTCCTCGTGCTCTCATGACATCATACTTGGCTGGGATTTCCTATCGCGTAATCATGCCGTTATAGATTGTGCCCGTTCCGAACTTTTACTGGTTTCGTTGTTCGACCAGCCCAACGACCACACTAATCAAGCCGCACACAAGCTACTTGTCAAAGAGGACACTGGCATTCCACCGACAACAGCTGTTTTGCTCCCTGTGGTCTCCGACGGCATGCGTGATGAAGTAGCATTTTTTGAGCCATCAAGCCTCTTTCTAAGTCGGAAATCATTCCTGCTCCCTTATTCAGCCCTCTCAATTTCTAATAGAGCCAGTGCTCTCTGCCTTATCAATCCCTTTCCCCATACCATCAAACTGTTTGAAGGCGAGTCGCTTGGATGCGTACAGCCCAATAATAACGGACAAATTTTTACTGTGCCGCAAGAATCATCCCAAAGTGACCTCGCCGCCGTCAGTGCTCTTAACCACTCTGATCTACAGGCTTCGAAAGTGTTCGATTCGGCGATCGCAGACGGACTGTCACCATCTGAACGATCTGAACTCCTCCAACTGCTGTACCAGTACCACGAATCTTTTGATGTTGTTCAATCTTCACTTGGCCGCACTTTTACCACTCTACATTACATCGATACCGGCTTCCATGCGCCACTACGACAGCGACCATATCGTGTGTCTGCGGCGGAACGCCAAGTTACTACCGAACAGGTGAACGATATGCTGCAACGCGGTGTCATTCAACCTGCACAAATAAAAAAGACGTTCATACCATCAGGTCAGCTATCATCAACACAAGAGAAAGGCACAAGATCGGCGATCAAGCACTGTCATCTGGGTCCACCTGCGTTCCTTTAGAGCTACCACCCACTTGCTCAGTCCTTCAATGAACCCCCTTTACAATATATATATATATATATATATATATATATATATATATATATATATATATATATATATATGGGGAAAGAAGTGTATACCAAAGAGCTCGCTTTTCCATGTTTTGAAACAATAATAATGAGATCTAACAGGCAATAATTCCAAGGAATGTATGAGGAAAGTTATTATAACCAATTTAATGTAAATAAGAAGAAATAAAAGTGGCTCAAAATATAACTTCTCTTGAACAAGAATCGAACCTATGACCTCCAAATAACGCGTTTGATGCTCTACCTCTGACCAATCACGACGGCTAGCCCCAACTCGCTTTATTGAGTTTATATGCGAAATTTAGCGTGGTAGTGCCAAGCAGCACCACCTGTAGCAATGGCGGCGAGTGTGGCACAATCTTTCATAAGCCTGTATGGTGCCACGTAGAACGCGAACTTTAGACAAGCTCTCAGCTGACCAATAGTGCCTCGTATACAATCTAAGGGCACCAAGTCTGCCAGTACGAGGCCCTCGTTATTGAATATGGCGAAGAAGTGTATACGTAAGGGCTCGTTTTTTTGTGTTTTGACACAAAAAATAAATGAAATCTAACAGACAATATTGCCAAGAAATTTATAGGAGAAGTTATTAGAACCAATGTAATGTAAATAAAAGAAAGAAAAGTTGGTGAAAAATAACTCGCCGTGAGCAGGAATACATACATACATACATATAAATATAAATATATATATATATATATATATATATATATATATATATATATATATATATATATATATATATATATATATATATATATATATATATATATATATAAGGGAAAGAAGTGTATACCTAAGGGCTCGTTTTTCCGTGTTTTTAACACAATAATAATGAGATATAACAGACAGTAATGCCAAGGAATGTACAGGGGAAGTTATTAACATTAATGGAATGTAAATAAGAAGAAAGAAAAGTGGATGAAAAAATTACCAACTGTAAGCAGGAATCGAATCTACGACCTTCGAATTACGCGTTCGTAATTCGAAGGTCGTAGGTTCGATTCCTGCCTACAGTTGGTAATTTTTTCATCCACTTTTCTTTCTTCTTATTTACATTCCATTAATGTTAATAACTTCCCCTGTACATTCCTTGGCATTACTGTCTGTTATATCTCATATATATATATATATATATATATATACATATATATATATATATATAGAGAGAGAGAGAGAGAGAGAGAGACTTGCAGGCTTTTCGATCGCCTGCTGCCGAATCAAGCATGCAGTCACCCGCACGAGGGTACTTCGTTAATGACCCACGTTAGCTATTGAATCTCATCTTCTTGGATTAGTCGTTTTTTCGCAGTTTCTGTCGGCAAACATTGCTCTAAACCATCACCACCGAGCAGCGGCATTAGTCAGAAAACAACGCAGGAAACGAGGTACAGAAACAGGTGCCGCACGACTTTTTCTCCTTACCGCGAACGTTCCGCTATAGAACTCCTCGAGATGCCATGGCCCTCCATGTATTTCATAGCTCTAACAACCATCTAGTCCACATTGCCGCGCACCGTGGATGGCACTCTTACCACAAGCACCAAATCATTTCAAGTCTTTTTGAGCATGGTTGAAGCAATTGAATTTTTTTCCCGATCAACCTCACCAATCTGTAACTCTTGCCCTTTGAATATAAAAACTCCTAAAGGTATAGGCAAGACTCTATCAGCTCTAAAGGTCACCGTTAAAAGTAAGCACGAGCCTTACACCTTCAAAGTTAGATTGTGACCTTTGTTAATTAACATGTAAGACTTTAAAACTTAAGAAGGTAAAAAAACACAAAAGCGGCTACCCGTGTAACCTATAGAAAAGAGGAAAAACGTAGGTAAAGGTACACATAGAGGATACGTGGTTAATAGTGTAGCTGGAATGTCCCGCACTGGTTTGCCCATCCTCATGCCTGGTTCTTCTCGCACGCATGAGAGCGGCACTTCACCAATTACTTTGTCGCTTCGGCAACAAATAAGCTTGCCACACAGAAATGTGATTGTTGTAAGCCTACCCAAAATATGCAGACGTACTAGTGGCTTTGCGTCGGGGTCAGTGTCATTGTAACATATGTTGATAATGAATGGCATTCAAGTATGCTTATTTTTTCTCTAGGTAGCAAGACGCCTATCCCTTTTGGGAGCCGGATATTTTAAGATCTCCTTCATCATCCATCCAGTGAGTAGATGCATTTCCACTTACTACTAATGGGTCATGGGCGTGGCACATATAATGGCGAAAGCTGTTGTGAGATCACAACAATGGTCACGTGCGCTGTAGTGTTCCGGTGCCGCCACTGCCGCCCATACCCATTACCGCTATCGTGCTAAATAAAAAAAAACTTGATAAATTAAAACCACCCAGGACATAGCGGTATCCAAACCAGGATCCCCGGCGTATCAGCCCAGTAATCATCCTCAGGGCTACGCCACTGCTTGAAACTTTGTTGCAATCTAGCCTTAGGCAGGCTTGATCTCGGGAATGGTATCGCGTTATTACAAGCATTAAAGTGTTTTAGAACATCAAAAGAACAATCAGGCTTCACACAATGAGAATTATGTAACTAGTGCCTTGAGGGATTCGCCAACTCATTACAAAAACTGCAGGCATTATTCTTCATCATCATCAGTGATGGCAGAAATATTTCACCAAATTCTTTGCAAATGTGTAGCGCGTGCCACACTTCTAAATATGACAAAGGATGGCATAGCAAATGCCTGGCCAATCCCCCACAGTTGTTATGCGTCATAAGAGAGGGTGAACAAGAACAAGAATGCCTGCCCACCACACAAAAGTTTTAATAATTTATGGCGGAGTAGGTACCCTGCAAGTGCGCTTGGAGCAGCTACCCAAAACGTGGTAATAAAAAGTCTTTGAAAGGCCGCTTTTCCACCTTTAGCTGTGACAGCACTGAGCATTCCGCGAGGTCTGGTGGTGTTTTCTGCTCAGAACTTCCATCATTCCAATGGCAAAAAAAAACGCAAACAATGATTACTGCTTACATCTGCGCACTCCATGATAACATTGTTGTTATGTTTGAGGAGAAGTTCAAGCCTACATATTGCCGCGTGTGTGCGCCAGTGGTGGCGACAACGAAGCAATGCGAGTGTTCTTTGCCAAGGGCAAAAGACCAAGAAGTCGTCGCAGTCTTTTTTCTGGGATCAATAAAGCGTATTTGTTTTAGGTGATTTGTGTGCTCGTCGATCCCGCGTCGTCACACTGGTGGAGGTGCTGGGTAGTCTTCATGCTTGGCACCTTTTCGCGGACACGACATTCGAGCCCGGAATCGTTAACACCCATCGACACACCAGTCCACCGCTTTAGTCGCCATCTTTGAGGCCTGGATCTCGAGCTCAATCCCTTGCCAGAGACTGCCAGCAATCGCTTGCCTCCTTCAGCCACCATGGCTACTGCTGCTCCATCGCAAATGACACTTCAGAATCCTATGATTCCTGACTGCTTTCATGGTGAGACCTATGAAGACGCCCAAAACTGGCTGGGCCACTTCGAACGCTGCGCGAAGTACAACCAGTGAGCCACCCCAGAAGACAAGCTCACGAATGTGTGCTTCTACCTGAAAGACAACGCACAGACTTGGTACATCAACAGGGAAAGATGAATGCCTACGTGAGACGACTTCTGCAACCAGCTGATTGACACCTTTACTAGTCTCGATGGAAAGGATAATGCGCAACGTCTCTTGGAAGCTCGAATTGAAAAAAACCAAATGAGAGCGTAGCTATGTTCGCTGAGGACATGACCCGTCTTTTCGGCAGGGCAGATCCCGAGACGCCGGAATACCGAAAGCTGCGGTATCAAATGCGAGGTGTGAAGGAGCAACTGTTTGCTGGGCTCGGGAGAAATCCACCAACCACAGTAGCTGAGTTCACAAAAGAAGCCACAGCTATGCAACTGGCCCTACAGCAACGGTACCACCAGCAGAACCAGGTCAACTTTCGAGCAAGTGGCCCCGTTACAACTGTAGCAACCCTCGTCGACAATTGACAGGCCTCTGCGGGAAGTCATCCGGGAGATTTGGAGGGAGGAGATTCGGTAGCTTGGTTTAATTCCAGCAACTGAACCGACACCGGCATTGTCTTCTGTCGCTGATGTTGCCCGGGACGAGGTCCATCAGGCACTCTTTTCATCCGGCTATGATGATGTGTGACGACATTTTACTTATGCGGGTGCAGTTCGACGCCCCGTCGTCACGCCTTCGGCACAGCGGACTTGAATTACTGGACCACTACCAACGCTGCAAACACAGCCACTCTCACCGCTGACGACTTTCCCAACGTCACCAATCTCGCCGACAAGACGAATGCCATTAAGGCGAAATGCGAAGCCCACAACCTGGTTCAATAGTGAGTCCCCGCTTACCTACGAGCGTCGAATAACCGATTTGTGGCGTACCTCTGACCGTCAACCGGTATGCTTTCATTGTGGCGAAGCTGGGCGTTATCGTGACGCTCAGTACTCAATATTTCCTCGCTACCATGATTACTCCTACGTACGACGATCGACACGCGTACAACGACACTCCTATGAACACACCGCCGCAGAATCCAATGAGGCCCGGGTCACGTTTTTTATCTACTGCGCGGGGCATTTCACCTAACCGTCGCAGTTTAGCCGACGTCACTAGGGGAAACTAGACACAGCAACCTCGGGGGGTGGGATTGCCAGTAATCGAACTTCCGAACAGCCCCCATTGCAGACATATGACAGCTCGAAGTCACCCACACCGAAGACGGCGATAGCAACGACTAATCCGACGAATGGAAAAAATGCCGATGTAACTGACGTTATCAGCGCTGACCTCGTCGTTCACATTGAGGGCCACCAAGTGACGGCTCTTGTCGACACCGGCTCCCACTTTTCTATAATCAGCCTACAGCTAGCCGGCAGACTAAGGAAGATGAAAATGCCAAGGCACGGACCCAGTATAGGAGCTGCAGGAGGTCAGTTGATGACACCAGTTGTAATGTGCATGGGCGAACTCTTCATCGCTCGTTCCACCTTTGACGCCACCCTCGTCATTCTCCACGAGTGCTGTAAACAACTCAAACTGAGAATAGATTTCTTGCGCGAATACGGGGCTGTGATTATAATCCATGACAGAAGCGTGACGTTCACTATAAGTTTGCACACTGCTACAGATGAGGAACACCAGCCACCTCGCTTCCGTATTGCCGATGACGACGTCATACTGCCGCCACGAAGTTGTTCTCTCGTATCTGTGCACTGTGACATCTTACAAAACGGCACTGGCATCGCTGAACACATAAAAGAGCTCGCATTTACTAGCGGCATTCCTGTTGCCAGGGCTGTCATCGCTGTTATTGAAGGAGGCCCTGAACTATTAATAACAGACTTCAGCAGAGAACGACGACACATAGTCAAAGGTATGGCTATTGCCTATTTCAGCGAACACTCTCAATCAAAATATTGTCATTTAGTGGAAGAAAAATCATGACGTACCTCAAAAGAACTTTTTTCAAAAACTCCATTCTTTGGATAAGCGACCTCCATCAATTGCAAAAATCTTGGGTCCATGGCCAAAAGGAAAGCTACAAGCCACTGCAGCACGTGCGGTCGTTCACTTTCTGGAGGAATCAGAAATAGCTCAAAAGTACTAAACAAAAAACAAATGTTAACCACGGTATGTTTCAAAACAGTATTTTCCTGCTTCACTACGATATTTTTGGGAAGATCTTTCTGAAAGCATGTCAGTATTTAAGCGACAAGATCACTTTGCTCGTTTTATCGAACTTTCACGTTTTTGTGTGAACACTTAACTTGGCATGATTACTTGTGTGGATTTCTTTTGTTTTGTTTTTTTTACAAACTCAGTTTGGTGCGGACACAGTTCTACGCAGTGTGGATTCATTTCTGTGTGGTGTGGACACTCAGTGTGGAAAAACGTGAACTCATCGTGTAAGTGTTGTGCTATGTACATATGTATAGCCTTGTGTTTGCTACTGAGTGTGCGATGTTGACTTTTGTGCAAGAGAAGAGGAGCAGCCGGCGCCACGCATTGGCACCAACCTCTCCTTACATACATTTATTAAAAAAAAAGCAGCAGCGTTTACTATCACTACACTACCACCTGTTGACGTTGCTCAAACGTTATCTCCCTATGAGCGAGACCACCTTCTCACGCTGATCAAGAAGTTCCGTGGCTGCTTCTCATCCACATAAAGAGTTGGTCAAACGGCACTGACAAAACACCGCATCATCACGGATTTTGACGCCAAATCTATACGGCAAAATCCTTATCGAGACGCCCCAAAGGAGCATGAGGCAATTCGAAAACAAGCGAAAACGATGCTAGAAGATGATGTTATTCGTCCATCTAACAGTCCTTAAACATCACCTGTAGTACTCGTAAAAAATAAGGACGGCTGCTTGCGTTTCTGCGTCGACTATCGGATGCTCAATCAGATCAGAAAGAAGGACGTCTATCCTCTGTCGGGTATTGATGATTCATTGGATAGACTACGAAACGCAACCAACTTTTCGTCCATGGACTTGAAAAGTGGCTACTGGCCAATAGGAGTGGATGAGAGAGATCACGAGAAGACTGCCTTTGTTGCATGGACTTTATGAATTGGAGGTACTTCCTTTCGGTTTGTGTTCAGCACCAGCAACACTCAAGCGTTTCATTGACGTGGTTCTGTCAGGACTGAAGTGGCAAACTTGCTTGGTGTATCTCGACGACGTGATTGTCTTTTTGGCGACTTTCGCGGCACACATACGAAGGCTCGAAGCCGCTTTTGGAGCAATACGCTTGGCCGGTCTTACTCTAAAACCCGAGAAGTGCCACTTCGGCTTCCACGAATTTCAGTCTCTAGGTCACGTCGTGAGCAGCCAAGGGATACTACCCGACCCGGATAAAATTGCCGCCGTGGGGAAGTTCACGACGCCACATACAAAAAATTGGGGCAACGTTTTTTAAGACTCTGTGCCTATTACCAGTGGTTTGTTGCTAATTTTCCGCGCATTGCATGGCCATTGACACAGCTTATTTGGGAAGATATCTCTTTCGCAATGGGCGAAGACCACTAGCACATATTTTACAAGCTTCGTCAGCCGATTCAAACTTTCCTCGTGCTCGGCCACTTCAATGAAAACGCGCCAACAATACTACAAACAGGCGCTAGTAATGTGGGTCATGG